TTTTTCAATTACAAGACTTTCTCTATACTTCGTATATACGAGAAAGTAATAAACCGGGAGTGATCTCCCCTAAACTTTCTCGAATATTCTAATATAAAACTACGAGGGATGGCAACTCAGGACTCATTTTTAATTAATTAAACTTTTTATAATAGAATGGAATCTCGTAAAAAAAAAGCATTGCACACCAAGTGAACGCCTAATAAAATGTGAGGTGTAAAACGTCGAGATTTGGAAAAATCTCAATTTTTTTGCACGATTACAATACTTTCTCTATACTTCGTATATTCGAGAAAGTAAAAACTAACTGTTATTTATTTTAAAAAACCGGGAGCGATCTCCCCTAAATTTTCTCGAATATTCTTTTATAAAAAAAACAGAGGATGGGAACTCGGGATATAGTCATGAATTTTAATCCATTTTAAATACTTAAACTTTTTAAAATAGAATAAAATCTCGTAGAAAAATGAATTGCACACTCGTGAACGCCAAATAAGACGTGCATAATAGTGTGGAATATTATTAGTACTTTATAAATTTACATTAGTTTTTTGAGAAATCGGAAATAGCTTAAATTAATACTTTCAATCAACGGAAATTACTCAAAATTTGACAAAGGTAGACAATTGGATCTTTTACTTACGTGTGAAATTTCTTTTATCTATCTGAAATAGAACTCAAGTTACATGCTTTTTAAAAATAGAAAGTAGAAAAAGTACCACTTCCGGTTATCGGAAATCGCTCAAAAGTTGATCAGGATCTATAATTTTGATAAAATACTTACTTATGAAATTTCATCAACCTAGCTGTAACGGTACTCAAGTTATCGTGTTTACACACAGACACACACACACACAGACATACGGACATAATTGCAAGGTCCAGTTTTTACGACTAGATAACGCATAAAACGCCAAAATGTTTATATATTTGTATTTAAATTTTTTGCCTGATTAAAATAAATCCTCTATACTCCGGATGTGATGAAGGACTGAGGAGCAAAACGGTGAAAACTGTCAAAATTTCATGTTATTTTTGTGCACGATTACAATACTTTCTCTATACTTCGTATATACGAGAAAGTAAAAATGTTAAGATTATTTATATTATTTTCTAATTAGTCTATGATTTCTCAAAATCACTATTTTTTGTTTTTGTTTTTCGGTGTTATTAAAACAGATGGTGAAATTAGACTTTTAGAGAATGCCGAAAAGGCTCTCCCTGGGCGAGGAAGCCTGGGATATCGTGTTGTTCGGTGATGATTCTAATGTTGTGGTTGTGTTGTGATTGTGTTGTAATTGTGTTGCGGTTGTGTTGTGGTTGTGTTATGGTTGTGTTGTTGCTGTGTTGTGGTTGTGTTATTGTTGTGTTATTGTTGTGTTTTGTTTGTGTTTGTGTTGTGTTGTGTTTTTGTTTGTTTTGTTCTGTTCCCAAGTTGGTACATTTAAAAAAGGTTTAGCGTGGCGGATCACGGGTATGCAGCTAATATATATATATATATATATATATATATATATATATATATATATATATATATATATATATATATATATATATATATATATATATATATATATATACATATATATATATATATATATATATATATATATATATATATATATATATATATATATATATATATATAGATATATACATATATATATATATATATATATATATATATATATATATATACATATATATATATATATATATATATATATATATATATATACATATATATATATATATATATATATATATATATATATATATATATATATGTGTGTGTATGTGTGTGTACTGTTTAATTTTTTAAGACTAATTATTGCGTTTGACTAACTGCATAATACACACTACCACAATGTTTTTTTATTATTGTTTTTTTTTATTCGATAGCGAAGTGCACCATAGGAGAGAATAACTGTTGTAAGTGTATTGAATATAATTATTTTCTGAATAATTCTTTATTTTAGCTGTGTTAAGTTTACTTTTAAAAAAAACCAGTTACTTTATGTTAGAATGTTTTCAGTTTGTATTTTAGACAAAGTATATAATTAAAAGAGAGTCCAGGTAGAGGTTTTAATCTGGGATGGAAAGCGTGTGTGTGCTTTAATCGAACAGTCCCGAGTTCAAAATGAACGAAAAGCAGTTTAAATGTGAAGTTCATACGCCTTATATCGCATAACATGTTAACACGTGATACGTAATAGGGCTTGTAAGTATCTTTGCTTCTCTTACTTAAAATTTAATAGCGGAAGTAACTTTTATTTCTTGTTTTACCGATTTAATAAACATATTAATAGTTGGTTTGAAAAATACTAGCTGGCTAGTATGATAAGACGTTGTTGACCTACTTACAAGCCCTATTGTGGCGGATGAAATCCCGTCTATTATTACAATTAAAAACTAAGAAAAAAGTATTTAAAAATATAAGTGTCGAAGTCTCGTTAAATGAATTCCCCCCAGCGTGCCGAGTAACCTGTGCAAAAAATAAATACGGAGAAGGCGTCTTGGACGGTGATGCATGCAGGTGTAACTGCACGTATGGTACTGGCGCGAACTGTGACCGTAAGTACGAGCCACATGATAATATATATGCCATATGTTGGTGTGTGCGTGAGTGGGTGTGCGCGTGCGTGTGTGCGTGAGTGCGTGTGTGCGTGTGTGCGTGTCTGCGTGTCTGCGTGTGCGTGCGTGCGTGTGAGCGTGTGCGTGTGTGTTTGTGCGTGTGTGTGCGTTCGTGTGTGCGAGTGTGCGTGTGTGTGTGTGCGTGTGTGCGTGCGTCAATCTCGTTTTTATATTCTTAATTCAGCGACTATATGAAGTGATAACAAAGAGTTTAGAGGGCTGCATACGAAATGAATTAGTTGTATAACTGATTTTGGATGACAAACTTTGACTTATGTGATTTACATGATTCATATACTTACATGATTTACATACATGACTGTATGTCTGTAGACATCAATATATGACTGTATGTCTGCAGACTTCGTCGTACGATCATAATACGACTGTATGACTGTAGACATCATTTTATTACTGTAGACATCATTTTACGACTGAATGACATCATTATATTAAGGTATGACTGTAGACATCATCGTTTGACTGTATGACTGTAGACAGCTTCGTGTGAATGCTGATATCATTATATGACTATAGACATCATTATGACAAGATTATATTATTGTATGGCTGTAGACATCATAATATTACTGTAGACATAACCATATGACCGTAGACATCTTTATATCACTGAAGCGACAGCTTTGTATGACTGTAGACACTATCACATTACTTTAAATAACATCGCATGACTGTAGACAGCACACTATGACTGTAGACCGCACCTTATGACTGCAAACAACGTCACATAACCTATTTATTCGAGTCGACAATGTAATCACTAAATAATGGTTCCACCTTCAGGAGAATGTAAAGACATCAAAGACTGGAAGAGCAACCCGAAAGTCTGCCGACAAGCTATAAAACCGTGTATGGAAATTAGCCTCTTGATTCAACATTACAAAACTTTGTGTCCACTGAAGTGTGGTTTCTGCAGTAAGTATTTATATTTTACATTTTTAAACACACATTTTTATTTTACATGAATCAGATGCAATACGACAGGACGGTGTGGTTTAGAAGGACAGTGCTGGACTGCTAACCCGAAAGTTTCGAGTTCGAATCCGGGTTCAAGTCTGTACAATATCCCTGATGCCCCCCTTCCTCCCCCTAGCAAAGGTGTCAGGTACTTATCAGAGCTGGGTGCAGTGGCGTAGCCAGGATCTTCTCAAGGGGGAGGGGTGTTCCAATTTTTACCCGGGGACAAACTTTCGATTTGCATCCCCCCCCCCTCAAACTTTCGATTTTCACCCCCCCCCCCCCTCAAACTTTCGATTTGCACCCCCTCAAACTTTCGATTTGCACCCCCCCCCCTTCAAACCTTCGATTTGCACCCCACACCCTCAAACTTTCGATTATTTGCACCCCCCCTTCCCTCTCAAACTTTCGATTTGCACCCCCCACCCTCAAACTTTCGATTATTTGCACCCCCTCTCAAACTTTCGATTTGCACCCCCACTCATACTTTATATATATACCGAGGGGTCTATGGGGGGGTTATGACCCCCCTACCCCCCCCCCCCTGCCTACGCCACTAGCCGGGTGGACTAAAGGACGCTCTACTGACTGGACCCCAAGATCCGCACTTGAGACTATCGGGTTAGCAGTTGAAAGCTCTAACATTCGACCACACATTAGTCATTAATTACCTTTCTTTTGTGCAAATGTTATCTTACTGGATCTGAAAAGTGAAGACAAATCTGTAAAGATAAATAATTGTTTATTTTCTCCAATAAATTTTATCTACAGAGCCCACACCAAAAAAAGAAAAGAGAAGAAAGGGAATAGTCCTGATTTAGCTACATTTTAGCAGCATAACTGCAACATAGTCAACCCTACCTATAGAGTTGATCATTCGTTATTTCTAAATACCAAACATTTTTTATTTTAATTAATTTTTTTTTAAAGCTAAAATATAATTTCTGATAATTTTTAACTACAGACAAGATATCATCAGCTATTGTGAAATAACCAATTCTTTTAAAATGTAAGGAATTAAAATTTTTGAAGCGAAGTAGATTTTGTGTAGCGTTCGCTTGAACTACTGCTTAGGTGAAGGCTATGCGCTTTTACAATAGGTGTTAATATATTTATAGAAAAATCGTTTTTTTATGTTTATAGCAATTGACTCTTTTCAACCAATTTATTAAAATTTATTTAAAAACTTATACTTCATTTTATCTATGTAGATTTTTATTCGCGTTATGCCTGTGCTTATATTAAAATATATTAAGATTAACTAACACTTACAAGTTTAATGTATTTTATAATTTGTTTGAAACTAGAGAAAAGAAAACCTACAATATTTGTAGAATTTTAAAATAACTAGAAAAAACGACTCTGTTTAAAACATAAATGTATAAAGCACTTTTTATTTATCGACGATAATATATAAGAGACCTATTCAAATGTTAAAACACACATTTTATAATGCAGTACAAGAACTATAAATGCTTTAAATAAGGCATTTGAAATTGTTGTCCAATAAAAATGACGATTTGAAAATAGTAATGCACTATAAAGTTTTCTTTTTTTTCTATAGCTTTAATGATAAATCAGTTTTTTTCTAAAAGTTTCTTTTAGTATTATCCATTTTCAATACAAAATGCGTGACGAAGATTTCTTTAGTCGAAGAAGAAATAAATAATAGACCAAATAAAAATAATTTGTTGTAAATAGTTGTACGTCATTGTTATTTTTAGCTTTATTGATTAATGTATAATTTTAATTCTTATTAGGCTCCAATAATTATATCAATTCGAGAATACAACGAAATTAGTGTTTGTACGTATTATACTCTACTCTCGGCAAAAAAAAAATGAGAAAGAAAAAAGTAATATTAAAAAGAAAACTACAAAAGTTCCAATAAATTTCCTAATTTTAACTTAATTATTTAAAGCAAAGAACTGGTTTGGGCATTTATTATGAAGTTTTTGTTGATAAGATTGTATGTATTGTGGTTGTTGGATGTCCTAATAATATGAGAATGTTAGGGTTTATATGTATGGAAGTAACCACTAAGTCTGCCTCCCCCACTCTCCACCTTGAAGCGTCAGAAGGCTACATACCAAAACACTCCTCCCGCCAATTTAGGCCTTGTCTTAAATGAAGAACCCAAAGGGACTAGACCTAAGTTCAGATCTAAGGGTAGAAAATGAGTCTTTTTTTTTCAGGTCAATATGTTTCATAGGGGTGGGTTGGGTATAAGGGGATATTAGTTTGTGTTGTGTAGAGCATCAGATAGGTCATTTTCCAAAGGAAAACTGGGTAGTCTAGTATATATATATATATATATATATATATATATATATATATATATATATATATATATATATATATATATATATATATATATATATATATAAAACATACAATTCTCTGGCAAAATGTCTTAGACAATTATCTAACATGATCTCTCAAAATATACCAGACAAAATTTACTCTCATAAACTCTCTCTGGCCAAATATCTCACTCAAGATATCTCAGGTAAAATATCTCAGAAAAAAATTAATCTCAGTCTTAAGATACCCACACTATCCACCCCCTTCACATGCACTTCTGTATAATTCGTTTCTAATGGGTACTAGTCTGCATTCTATGTTACAGTTCCAAAGACTATTGATAAACTAAATACCATTCCAATTTTAAATGGTGTTATAACACTTTGAAAATTATCGACGTTTCGCTCGCTCCAAGTGCTTATAAAATAAAATAAAATAAAACTCCTGTTGCCTACGCACATTCATGAAATCTTATTCTTCAACTTGTCATGTGTTTTTTCATATGCATAGAATAGAAAACAACCCATCTGTTAATAGTGTGTTTGATTATCACATCGGTTTATTGCAAACCATACAATTCAGAGAGAGAGATCGGTGGCTAGACACAATAAGCAGACAGTGAAGCTTAATGAGCTCAAGTCATGCGTAATGTTTGCTTGATTGCAGGGTTGGAGTGGCCCGTCAGTCTAACGCAGGGTTCTCCAAACTACGGCCCGCGGGCCAGAAGCGTTCCGCGATGTCCTCTCATCCGGCCCTCGGAGATATTTTTGTCCACGGAAAAAACGTTTGTTGTTGATGGCTGAGGAAATTTGCCCAGAAAAATCAAATACATGCCTGAAAGAACCTGGCCCCCGAACTTAAATTTTATAGTTAATGCGGCCCTCGGACTGAAAAGTTTGGAGACCCCTGGTCTAACGGAAAAATCACATGTAAAAAAATTGCAGTGGTGCTGTATTAAACGTTTTAGTGCTTTGATTTAAAAAAAAATAATTTGTCACGTTTATTTCCATCAAGTTGAGGACGATCATCAGACTTAGATGGGGTAAAACTGAACAAGGAAAATGTTAATCTGGGGTTAGGTTAAGTTTGCCTTGTCGACCCTCCTGGGACATAGGCCGCTGACAAGAGCTTTCGGGGCGTCTCTGTCCTGGGCTAGTCTCTCCAACTGTCCCCAGGTGTATCCAATCTTCTTGGTGTCTTCTTCCAGGTCACGTCTCCAGGTATTTCTTGGTTTGCCTCTGCTCCTTATGCCCTAGGGTTAGGGGCCCCATTTTAAATTACCCGGGCCTTTTGGACACGTCCTATCTATCCCTGATTGATAGTGGCAATGTATATTTTTCTTGATTAAACTCCATTCTAGCGATCAATGAATCGACGTCTTGTTTGTAAGAAGTTAATCAGGCATGATTTTGTCAAATATGTCTGTCAGAATAATATTCACCAGATATCACACCATTTAATAGTTGTTTTATATTTTACATATGTCTATTCCCACTGAGATTAGTTATTGTTGATATAGGAAGCTGTATGAAAATTAAAGTTTTCGATACCAATGTGTTTGATTGTTAAAATATTTCGTGGGCCCTGGCCTGTTGCCCGATAAGCCACTCCTACTAATCCTACCCTCTAGAAATTGTAATAGGTAATGTTGATGTGGTGTATTCTCATTCACCCATTCGTCTACATCCCTAATCAGCTTCACAAACTGGTTATATTTTTGAAAAGTATCTTTATCCTAAACCAAGTCTATGTCAGCAGAAGAACTATAATCCAATTGCAAACATCTGAAATGGTAATATTGTTGATGTGTCTAATCCTTAGTTGTATCAAGAAGGGACGATAGACAAATTTAATCGTTATCATCAACACTAAACACTATGATTAATGATACAATATGCCCCCCACCCACACACACACCCTCCACTCACACATCCTATCCCACAACGCCTAACCTTTTTAAATAAATTAACTTTTTTTCTGTTGTACATGTATCTAATAGGTCGATAGAAATGGATTTTATTTCAAAAGGTACCATGTACCTCCTATCTACTTTCTATCTTTCCTTTCTTCTATCTTTCCTTTCTGACCAAAAACAATTTGGTTTCTTACCCACCCATCTTGCAACTGCCCCATTCCACCCACCTCCCACCTTCCCCATCCCAACCATCCACCTTCCCCATCCTACCAACCCACCTTCCCCATCCCACACACCCACCTTCCCCATCCCACCAACCCTCCTTCACCTCCCCATCATATCATCCACCTTCCAACTGCCCCATCCATCCCACCCACCAATCCATCTTCTAAAAACATAATACATTCCTATACAGAGCGTTACAAAAGAACCATGCACACATGTGTAAGCTGCATACTTTCCCTGCTGTGACAAATATACCACCACACTCGTTTCGTGTAAAAGGGCACATTAATTTCTTGCTAGCAATCCTGACTTTACTGAAAGGTAGGAATTTTAAACGCCATATAACAGTATTCTTTTTCTTCCTTTTTTTAAAAATCAAAATGTATTATCCGTGTAAAAGGAATATAAGAAGTCCAGCGGTAATGCGCAAGATTACAAACCCATAATGCTTGACTTCTATTCAAGGTGGCAAAACAACACTCAAGCCTCTTTTTGCTGGGATTCAACAATATTTGACAACTTCACTTCCTCTTCTCAAGATATTGTCTGATCTAAAAGGGATCTTCTACTTCTTCTATGGGGGGGGGGGGGGCGATGTTTGTTGTTGGGATGAGACGTATATATTGTTGTTGAAGGTCTGAGGTGGGCCTGGTGTGTGGGATATATGTGTGTTTGATGCGGGGTTGGATATGCTGAGCGTGTCTTGGGCAGTGTACTACTGTACGTATTTCTCGGTGAAAAATGATAATTTTCTCATTTATAGGGTCATACGCATTGTGTTTTAAATACATAAATACGTTTGTTTCACATTAAATTCTTGTTTTCAGAATTTGACATGGACGAAAAGGCTAAGCCAAATGTGAAAGAAACCCAGTATAACAAAACAAAAGAATTTCTTGTTTTTTTTTCTAGAGCATTTCTTCTTAACCTATTCTCCCAGGTGTGCAATGTCCTATTGAATTTTGTGTTGGTGTGTTATAGTGTTCAAAAGAGCTAGTTGATCTTGGATAAAGTTGTGTACGGTAATGGTGTATACTATTTGATTTTGGCTTGGAGTGTCCTATTATGATCTTGGCGTAGAATGTGCTATTTAATAGGTTTTGTACATTCTTGGTGTAATATTGTTCGCTTTTTGTATGTCACTGCCATGATGTAATTGTTCGACGTAAAGCAAGCGTAGTGCACCATTAGAGTATTCTATTTAATTTATTTTTTTTTAGAACTCAACGGGACAAGACCTTCTAAAAGACGAAGCAATTAATATGTTGCTCCAGAATTTCTTCAGCATTACCAGTATTTTGTTGTATGGTAAGCAAAAGCTATATTATTTCAACAAGATCAAAAAATGTCAATGCATACTTAAGTACAACATGGGGACGTAATTAATAAACCAAACACGTTTACAAAAACGGCAAAGGGTTTATCGATTTCTTTTCAAATTGTTTTATTCCCCATAACACATAATCTATTCGCATTTGTTGCAGAGTACTTATAATGTGTTTATTACCCTCATATATAGATTCTAGGCAATACTGTCAATCTGTCGAAGTTATTAGCTTAACTCACATATTTTTGAATGTTTTATTTTGTGTAGAGATACGCTATTTTAATGTGTATTTGGTGCACGGTGGAAGGACGGGGGGTGGGGGAGGTTAAGTAAATGATAAATATCTTCTTGTGGGCGGGGTGTACCTGGGTGTGGACCTATGACAAATATAAATTTAGGTAGGAAAATCAGTTCACGATCTGGTTAAAATAGAATTCTGGAACTCGTATTCCTTGTTAACATTATGACCCTCTTGATTTAGGGTAATCCTGTCATCTTCTACATGAAATGATAATAATTAATTTGTTATACTGTCCCCCACTCTTCCCTCCTTACAATACGGAGGCGAACCAATGTTCTTAAGAAGGTTAAAGTGCAACAAACTGAAGAACAAATCATTGATCGCACCCAAGTTCCCAGCAGCTAAGCCACTGTGGCGGACTTAAAGAGTGGCTGTTAGGGCAGCAGCCTAAGGCCCCCAATATTTACAAATTTACCCTAAATGTTGACTAATTTATTTTCTAGATTTATTTTATGTATATGTATATTCGAAGTAACTGTATATTTATTTATTCTTATTAAATGCATTATATAAAGTTGAACTATCTGTATGTATAATTAGTATGTATACTTCACTATTGTAAACTGAGCGAGAACTAAAATAATAGTTATAGTTCGTTGTTCAGTTGTGTAAGGGGTATATGTTTTTGGTAAGTAAAACTGTTGTATATAGCCGTGCCCTTTTGTGTTGTATGGTATTTTGCGTGGTCAAGCGGCATAGCACTAGATTCCTAGCCCGAAAGACTCGAGTTCGGATCCCGAGTTCAAATCTGTAGGGCGTGCCTGAGTCCACCCAGCTCTGATGGGTACTTGACTCACGTTGTGGAAAGATATAAACTCTATTTCATCTGACCCATTAATCTGGGGCACGAACGGGTAAAGATGTTGATGGTAATTATAAAATGGAAGTGCCATCTTAAACAGACTCAATTCAGCTATTGATCAAACTTCTAAATATTATGTAGTCATTGTGTAGTAAATTAGTCTGTAGCTTAAGTGATTTGATAAGCAATTTTTTTGTTTAATAAACGTTTATTTCGTACATGAGTACCTCGTTATTTTTAATAATTTATAAAATATTTGATTAGTACTTTTAAAATTTTGCTGTGAAAATAAATTGACGATTTGACGCAAGTTTTAAAAAAAATTCATTTTCTGCTTCAGGCCTACTATTAGAGATGGTGTTAAGCATGAGCAGAAAGGAAATTCAAGCTATTTTGTTTATACACAATAAATTTAGACAGAGAATGGCAAAAACAAACCCTGCGTTCAAAATAGCCAACATGCAGAAGATGGTGAGTTTCTCGTTAATAATTTATATAATTAACGCCATGAGTAAGCTTGTTCATTTTGGTTTTTAATTGACTTTTTGAGTTACTTAATGTAAATGATTTTTTTTGTCCTATGTAGGCCCTATAAACGTCATGGGAGCATTGTCTATCGTTTATATGAAGGTGGCGGAGGGGAGTTATTATCCTCTTTAAAGTGTTCAGAAGGGAATATTAACGTAATTGGTTACCGAAATGCTAATAGAAAGCCATGAGATTGATCTTATTTCAACAACACAAAAGCTCTAAGTAAAGATCAGCAATTTCGGCAACGGAAAAGCCTAGTAGATTACTTCAACCCAAAAAAAAAAAAAACTTTTCTAAACTATTTTAATTATCGATTAAAATATCTATCGAATAATGTAAATTACAGCACATCAGCAACGATACAGGTACCAACACATTTACGTCTACTCAGTTATTTCCAATGACAGGAATTTTAGATAGTAAACATATGTGCACTTGCCCGTGACTATCACTAACAGTGTTTCTTCCAGACTTTTTTCTCTGTGTGGCACAAGAAATTTTCCGCCCCCCGCCCCCCCCCCCCCCCCCCGCCCCCCCACAAAGAGATGCCATGAAGAAACTCTGATCACTAAACATCGCTAACATGTCTAAGTTCGACACTATTGTAAAAATAATAATCATAACATAAAAATAAGAATAATCTAAATGCATATAAATATACATAGGGGCCTATATATATATATATATATATATATATATATATATATATATATATATATATATATATATATATATAAGTATATGTTAAGTATACATATACAGTAATGTAATCGTTTAGAACTTGAGCTCCCCCGATTCAACTCCTAATTTTGCTTAGAAAATATCATGGACCAGATGACGATAAAAAATTATTTCCTAAATAATAATCTTATCCATACAGAAGTGGGATTCAGCCCAACAATCAACTGCAGAGAAACACCTCAGCTATGGACAGGATACCGCCAAGCATTTCAATACTGGCACTCTCAAAGGCAGGTTTCAAGTTTTGTCCAAGGCCGACATCCGTGAAATTATTGAAACATGGTACAGGCAGGGTGAAAAATTTAATTTCCAGGATAAACGATGCCTTTCTGACTGCCCGCAGTTTGCTAACGTGAGTATCTTTTATGAAATTAATGTCGGGTCTAGCGTTATGGATGCGATCTGAAAGTTGGAGATATTGTTATGAAATAATAAGTGGTGGTGATAGTGAAGGTTGAGATTGAGGTTTCTTTTGAGGTTACTTTTGAGGTTTCTTTTGAGGTTTCTTTTGAGGTTTCTTTTGAGGTTGAGGTTGAGGTTGAGGTTGAGGTTGAGGTTGAGGTTGAGGTTGAGGTTGAGGTTGAGGTTGAGGTTGAGGTTGAGGTTGAGGTTGAGGTTGAGGTTGAGGTTATGGTTGAGGTTGAGGTTGAGGTTGAGGTTGAGGTTGAGGTTGAGGTTGAGGTTGAGGTTGAGGTTTAGGTTTAGGTTTAGGTTTAGGTTTAGGTTTAGGTTCAGGTTCAGGTTCAGGTTCAGGTTCAGGTTCAGGTTCAGGTTTAGGTTTAGGTTTAGGTTTAGGTTTAGGTTTAGGTTTAGGTTTAGGTTTAGGTTTAGGTTTAGGTTTAGGTTTAGGTTTAGGTTTAGGTTTAGGTTTAGGTTTAGGTTTAGGTTTAGGTTTAGGTTTAGGTTTAGGTTGAGGTTGAGGTTGAGGTTGAGGTTGAGGTTGAGGTTGAGGTTGAGGTTGAGGTTGAGGTTGAGGTTGAGGTTGAGGTTGAGGTTGAGGTTGAGGTTGAGGTTGAGGTTGAGGTTGAGGTTGAGGTTGAGGTTGAGGTTGAGGTTGAGGTGGGCGAGTTGGTTGAAAACGATGTGCAAGTGGAGGTAAAGTTTGAGTTTCAGAATCAGGTTTAGTAGGTCGCCGTGACAATTAAGGTTACGGTTACATTTTGAGTTTAATTTTACGATTTGAGTTTTATTTTTTATTTCAGTTGGTTTACCCTTTAATGAATACAGTCGGTTGTGAGAAAAAGTCCAATGAAGATGATTCTGACCCATCTGTAATTTTGGGTTGCTCTTACGGAACAAAGTTAGTGAAAATTTATTTCACTTCATGTTGAACTATAAATTATAATATAAATAAATGATAATTATTTTGAGAATCAAACAAAATAATAAAAATATATCACATAAGTTTATTGATTTTACAAAACAAACAAATGCATGCATTATAAAGGACACTATCCTTCTTATAATAGTTTTCCTTTCAAATCTGACGGTCTATGGGGCAAGTGAAGTAGAGTTCACTTGTTTCAGCACTATGCCCAGCCGCCTTTACTTTCCCTAACGTGAGTTAGGTACCCATCAGAGTTTAATCACATTAAATTATTAATACAAAAACAAATCATTCGTTTTTATAGTTTTATTTCCACTCTTACTATATATTTTATAGGACATTGAATAAAAACAAACTAAATTTATATATCTGAGAGTAAAAGCTACAAAATTTCGCGGACCTTAGCCTGCTGCCCGGTTAACCTCCCCTATAATCCGGTGCCCTCTAGAAATTGTAAGCATATAAAGCATCGCTGTTTACATATAGAAATAAAATTACCATTTCGAACCTGACCATCATTGTGAAAAATACAGTACCTTAGGGGGTGCCAAAATGGGTTGGAAAATTAAATTGAAAGGTCGACGGGGGTGCAAATCAAAATCTTGAGGGGGGGGGGGGGGGTGCAAATCCCCAGGCGCCGGGAAGGGTCGCTACGCCTCTGGAAAGATGTAGTTCGTCTGTTTAATACGTGACCTGTATATTTAGTATGATAGTATGTCCAGTTCTATACCTCGCCAGCTTTACTTTCACAAACGTCAGACAGATACTGACCAGAGCTGGAAGGACTCTTGGACGTCTCATTTTATACTCGTGGTCCCGAGATTTTCGAATAAACAGTTATATAGTTCTTATAAAACCACACATGATTGCCAAGCTGTAAAATAGTACCATAACTGTAACCAGTGGCGTAGCGAGGTCGGGTGTCACCCGGTGCGGCACTTAATGGTGTCAGCCCCCAGAGGCGTAACGACCCTTTCCGGGGACAAACTTTCAAATTTTCGATTTGCACCCCCGTCAAGTTTTCGATTTGCATCCCCTCCCCCCTTAAACTTTCGATTTGCACCCCCCCCCGCCCTCAAGTTTTTCTCTATATATTTTGCTATTTTTTGCCTTGGTGTCAACCCCTAAGTGGTGTCACCCGGTGCGGTCCGCACCCCCCGCTCCCCCCCTCGCTACGCCACTGACTGTAACGAACCATTAAACTAATTGACGATGTTTATGGACATTGCAGTCAGTTTGTCCTATACAAGGACAAATTTGAGTTCGAGTACGGTGAACCCTGCAGTCAATGTCCGGAGCCAAACAACTTTTGCGACAGAAATTTGTGCTGTAAGTATTGTGGATACAGTGCACAATTACTGGTATGTATACACAGACCTGCATAGATATATACAAATGCACATTTAAACATCTGATCTATCGTCTTTCAATATACAAGGAAGTACAAATTTATTTATATATAATATGTATGTATTGATATATATATATATATATATATATATATATATATATATATATATATATATATATATATATATATATATATATATATATATATATATATATATATGTAATTCTCTTCATGGAGACCATAGAAAACACCACGCATCTTAGCCACACCCTCATCCCCACCTGTCAGGTGAGCTGTGGTTCACCCCGAATGTTTACAACAGTAGAGCCGGGTTAGTGACGGCTATTAGGGGCAGATAATTTAGTTTTTAAGCGATTTGAAACAAAGGGGAGATAATAAGTTCTGCTTGATATTTTCATTGTCGTCTGTAAACGGCTGCTTTCACTGGGCGGCGTGGGGGGTAGGGGTCGGGAAGGCAGAGGGTGGGATAGTGTCGAATTCACAAATTATGAATTGTTGATAAGTAGAAACTAAAACAATTAGATAGCGGCGTATGCTGCTTCGCGGGTCAGCTCGTATATATATATATATATATATATATATATATATATATATATATATATATATATATATATAACTTCATGTCCATGAGCAAAATGCCCATGTTAATAATAAACGAAAAATTCAACTCTGTCATCATCATGAGACGATTGTAGTAATTAACTGAATAGGCAATTCATTTTCAATACAAACCATTCTTGTGTACGCGTTGTTTGTTTTTTATTTATTGACAGCGAGGTGTAATGCTATCTCCAGAAAAAGGAACTGTTGTAAGAATGTTGAGCATTTTCATTTTTTAAAAATTAGTTTTAGATTTCTATTACATGGACTAAGTAGCCGAGAGATTATGGTTGGGTTGGGGGAGGGGGTATTAAAAATTTTAAATTACGTATCTATTTTAGTCATCATCATTTTCCGTTCGTACCGAAGACACATAGGGCAGATGAAGTAGAGTTTATCTGCTTCGGATACCTCGGCATATGAAAGGATAGTATGGTCAGTGCTATGCCTAGCCGGCGTTGTGCCCTAATGTGAGTTATGAACCCATCAGAGATGGGTAGACTCAAGGACTTGACTCGGCCGTCTTGAACCCGGATTCAAACTCGAGACTTTCGAGTTAGCGATCTAGAACTCTACCACTAGGCCATGCCATTCCCATCTAATTTAGCATTGGTGTAAAAAAAAAAAATAATAATTCTGTTTAAACGTCATTAGATTAGTACTCATGTCGGTTAATTTTTTAGCCTGTGCAAAAACGTGTCAACAAAACACTTATGGTGAAGGCGTTTTGAATAGTACTACATGCACGTGTAATTGCAATTACGGGACTGGACCTGTATGCAACAGTGAGTACTCATCTAAAGATAATTGCAGAACGTCGAGCTCAATATTGTATGTCCAGTGAATCAGACATTGTATTATACAGATGGACATTTTTTTAAATATATCTTGTTTTTGTTTTGACTTTACATTGAGATGTATGTTTGAAAATAATTTTGAGCCTTTTGTCTGATTTGCAGAATGACTAATGACATGAATAATGAAATATTTTTGACTGAAAATGACTTTCATTTAATACCTTATACCGCGTTTACATTGCGACATGTATACTATGGTGACCAGAAAGATGCGCAACAAAAAATGCGCACATAGAGTAATGCGCAACGGAAAAATGCGCAAGCAGAAAAGTGTGCAAAAAGAAAAATGTGCTTAAAGAAAAAAGTGCTTAGAGAAAAATGTACATAGAAAAATGCACACACAGAAAACTGTATATTATCCATGTCAAGGAAAAAAAATGAAGTTAATGTTATATGAAAACATTGTTCCCACTGAATATGTATAGGCCTACTTGCTTGCTGCGAGTTTTTCCACTAGACATATATAAATAGCATACAAGTCACAAGTGTAAACGCAATGAGTGGTATTCTGATATTTAATTTTGTGAATTATTACTTCCACCCCACAGAGGAATGTAAAAACAACGAGTCTCTGATTGGTTCGGTTTTTAAGTGCGAGAATACGAAGCTATTGTGTACATCAACGAAAAAAGCAGCCAGAAAGCAGATGAAAAATGCGTGCGCTCTGTACTGCGGTTTTTGCAGTAATTATAATAAATTTCTTTATTTAAGATATATCCAGAAAGGTTTGGCCAGGGGGAGGGGGGGGGGGAGGGGCATGTTTTAATTCAGTTTTAGTCTAGTGGCGCCTTTTCGAGTTCAAATTCAAATAAAAAATGTAGACTCCTCCGATACAAAAAAGAAAGTCCTTACCTAACATACTACAAACTTTAAAACACTTAACAACTACATGTACATGTTCAAATTTAGATGATTCTGTAATTTCTTAATGCCTGGCTTCTTAATCACATCTCGGCGCCTGATCGAGCGCCAGACGGAACATAAGTATCTACACTGTTGCTTCAACCACAGATACGATATGTAAAAATATCTACATCTACCCACTCACACACACATATATATATATATATATATATATATATATATATATATATATATATATATATATATATATATATATATATATTCGAATACATGTATTCTACATACAAAAAATTTTGAAAATGAAACTTAATTACTTAAGAATGTTAGATCGTGTATTAATGATTCCTTCTACTTAAGGCACATTTTCTTTGAAGTTTTTACATTAAAGCACTTTCACTTAACGTTCAGTAAAATGTTATCATCAATTTTAATAATGCTGTGTTTGTGTGGTTTAAGTATTTAAAAGAATCTTTATTAAAACTTTTTATTTGATAACCAACAAAATACAAATCTTTGTTTTTGCATAAAGCACAGTTATTTCAATGTTTTATCGAGTAAAATTTTTAGTTACAACTTCTAATATTATATCTCAGTTTACATAAAATGATTATTTCACCTATTCTTTTCTTTACAGAAATCAAACCAAACAAGTCTGAATAGAACACGGCTTGAAAGTTCGTAAAAAAAAGTTTCATAAGGAGTGGTGCATAAACAATGTCATATTTTTTACCAGTTGTTACCTCCTCTACCTTTCATATCAGAAAAAATCGTCTCCAATGTAAGGGTCTAAACCATTGAAATAAGACATTATTCTTTAGTCATTTCCACACCCCTCCATCGATAGAATTTCTTCCAGGCATCTCTTCGGTGGAGCTGAGCGCCCCCCCCCCCCCGCCCTCCGAACGAAAAAGGAATTTTTATAGAAAATATATACTTTTATCGCACCCCCCCCCCCCCCCGGGAATTTTAGTCCACCCCCCCCCCCCCCCCAAATTCCCCGAAAAATTCAAGTGCACCCCGGAGAAATATGTCTGGAAGAAAAATTGTCCATCAATCGACCGTGTTTTGTCACCATTATATTCTTTTAAGGGGATATAAGCAAGCTATAACATTTTTGTTAAAAATATTATTTCAAGTTACATCGCTTTAAAATTCGACACTGGCTAATTGGTGCAAAAATGTTATGCAAAATACGATTAATATTTATTTGGTTGGTCGTTTTTTTCGTCGTTTTTCATATCCGATTGTTAAGAAAAAAATGGAAAACTAAGTCTGCTAAAATTCAGTTTATATATTTTTTTTTTGTACGATGGTTTTTACTTTTTCCAACCTTTTAAACCCCCAACCCTAAAATCCAAACCTTCCCCCACTCCACTTCGCTATGAGTTTGGCGAAATTTAAATATGTTTATTTTTAAATAATATGTTTATTTTACGCTTAGAACACACGTATATAATACAACCATAATTATATATATATATATATATATATATGGTTTTTTATAAACACACACACACACACACACATATATATATATATATATATATATATATATATATATATATATATATATATATATATATATATATATATATATATATATATATATATATATATATATATATATATATATATATATATATATATATATATATATATATATACATATATATATATATATATATATATATATATATATATATATATATATAGTATACATTCTTTATTTTATGTAGGTAGGCCTACTCCTTATAACACTTTTTGTGAATTTGGTCAAAATAAAAAGAAAATTTGAAATGATGATCAATAATTTTTATTTTCTAAATTATGTTTTGTCTTAGACGCATACAATATTCATTCTGCATGAGTTTTTTTTTCTTTTCTTATAATATGCATTATCTTTCAAATTGTCGAATGAAGCCTCTACGAAATGCAAAGACTAAATAAAATGCAAGTTTAAAGGGGTTCTCTTACTCCTTTACCTGACCGGTTACGAGTTTTAAGTTTATAACTTGAAGGAATTATCAGTCATATAAAACAGCAGATCATAATGTTCGTATTGAAACATTAATACTGAAGCCTATCATGGTATTTTATATCAACCTCTTTTAACGTTCGTGACCAAGACACATGGGGCAGATGAAGCTGTGGTCACCTGTTTCAGGGACATCAACATATGAAGGGATAGTTTGGTCAGCACTATGCCCAGTTGTCTTTATAGATTTAACATAGTCGATGTGGTAACAAAATTGAACTACTTTTGGGCAATCGGCCTTCAGGCAAGTGGACAAAATTAAATCAATGTCAGACCACGGTTTTATTTAATACTCTGACGTTTTTAGTCTAGGTCATGATTTTAAAAAAAAAAATTATCTTTTTCTCATGCTAACTTTAAAATTAGGCCCCATATTAGATGGATAACATATGTCAGATAGTCTACAGCCATTAACAACATTAAAAAAATATGTCACCCTACGCCTTTTAGTCATTCCACTTTAATGGCTAGTCTAATAAAACACCCGAACATGTAATTTACTTTGTTGGCAGCAGTTCGTTTTAATAATGATAACACATGTATTGTTCCTAATTAAAACTGACGTTTTTTAGTTTTAAATTTGAAAAATAATTTCATCAATTTTTAAAGTGCTTAATTATTTTTTTTATTTTTTTGCTTTTATATTAAAATGTAATAAACATTATAATTTGCAATGACTAAACAGTATTTAAATTCTTTTATTTATTTAACTTGAATGGAAAATTAATTAATCTTTTTATTTACAATTAAAACAAACCCAATCATAATTGACAGCAAAAGAATAAATCGGTGATCTTAGGGGTGCCATCAAAAACCAATTTCTTAGAGGTCGAATAAACAGGTGTCTTTTCATTGTTTATGATAAGTTAAAAAATCTCGTTAATTTCTTATCACAAATATTCTCCATCTAAACTCATGATATTTTTAATCTAGAAATCTTTTGCTCACAAATAATGAAATCTCTATTCTCTAATGTTGATTTCTGTTCTAAATTAAACCGTGTTTGTCGAATCAAAACCATACGATAAAAAAATAACCAATTACTAATTAAGTTTCAACTAAACCTTGTAAAACCACAAAATACGTTTGTCAAATCAAAACCATACAATAAAAAATAACCAATTACTAATTAAGTTTCAGCTAAACCTTGTAAAACCACAAAATACGTTAGCCAAACGATTACACTGAAAGGAAACTAATGAGATTCTGACCGGCTAAAATTGAAAAAAAAAAAACAAAAAAAAACCCAGACTTTATGCTTTATTTTTGGTGCTGTTTCTGTCCAAAGTAATTTTGGTATCCTGTCCTAACATCATCATATCCAACACTCCTTGCACCATCAGAACTTTTAAATATTAGATAATTTCTTTTTAATCCATACTGTGCAGAAGGCAGTGGCGTAGGCAGGGGGGGTAGGGGGGGTCATAACCCCCCATAGACCCCTCGGTACATAGAAAAAGTATGAGGGGGGTGCAAATCGAAAGTTTGAGGGGGGGGTGCAAATCGAAAGTTTGAGGGGGGGGGGGGGTGCAAATCGAAAGTTTGTTCCCGGTAAAAATTGGAACCCGCCCCCCCCCCCCCCCCCCCCCCCTTGAGACGATCCTGACTACGCCACTGGCAGAAGGTTTAACTTTCAGTATAAAAATCTAAGCTAATATTTATAAAACATAAAACGGTGCCCTGTCAAAACGGTCTCGTTAACATGACCCCGTCAAATCGACCCCCGACAAAACGACCCAGTCAAAATAGCCCCGTCAAAAGGGCCCCGACTTATTGGCTCCCTTCAAATGGGCTCCCGTTATATTGACTCGCGATATATAGACTCCCGACAAATGAGCTCCCGACATTTAGGCTCCCGACATTTAGGCTCCCGACAATTGGACTCTCGACATATTGGCTCCCGACAAATATACTCAGGACATACTGGCTCACGACAAAGTGGCTCCCGACATATTGGCTCCAAAATAAGGGCTCACAACAAATGGGCTCCCGACAAATGGGCTCATGACATATTGGCTACCGACAAATGGGCTCCCGACATATTGGCTCCCGACAAATGGGCTCCCGACATATTGGCTACCGACAAAATGACTCCCGACATATTGGCAAATGAATGGTATGACCACTGGCATAAAAGTAACCATTTTGTCTTACCTCCACTACTACTATAACCTCTTTTTAATGCCTGAATGAAATTGTTTTTTATGAACCAACATCAATTCTCAAACAAATCAAGCCCTTAACAGCTAAAATCTATCAATAATAAAATTTTGATAATGTTTAATTTACAACAGTAAAGATCTGTTGCAGAAAAGCGAGCACAGAAGTGAAAATGTACGATATACATGATGTTTACAGGATAACGACATTTTGTTTTGATAACCTACAAGCATACTGGAGGTAGGAAGGTACAGCGTGGACCCTTCTCCCCACACACTGAGTTGGAACAGCCTATAACTGACTCAATTATGGAAGTCATAGTTAGATGACCCTTAAATTAAAACATACTATATTTTATAATAGATAAACTAATATAAAAATAAGGCCTGTCGAACAAGAGATGCATACTTTGTATTACTTAAGACTGTTGGATTAGCTAACTCTAAAGAATATTGATGTAGGGGTCCCACGTGCAGGTGTCATATTCAATGAGACCGCTTTGCCGGGAGACTTAGTCTCTACAGAAACGGTATTGTCAGTGGTCCTTTTGTCTGGAGCCAAATTGACAGGAGCCTTTTTGTCGTCAGCCAAAATGACGCTAGCCTATTTGTCGGGAGTCGTAATAACGGGGGCCGTTTTGTGGGGAAACTAAATGGCGGGAGCCTATTTGTCGGAGTCGTAATGACGGGGCCGTTTTGTGGGAAAAAACTAAATGACAGGAGCCTATTTGTCAGGAGCCTTATTGACTGGAGCCCTTTTGTCGGGAGCCTATATAACGGGAGCCTATTTGTCGGGAGCCTAAATGACGAGAGCCTATTTATCGGGAGCCTTTATGACGGGGTCCATATGTCGCTGGCCATTTTGACGGGGTCAATTTGACGGGGCTCTTATGTCGGGGCCGATTTGTCGGGGTAGTTTTGACGGGGCCTTTTTGTCATTGGCCGTTTTGACGCCGCACACATAAAACCGCTCTGCCTTTATTTAAAAATTATCCAGGACGCAAAAGAAAATCGTGGCAATGAAAATAACACTTGTGTTAAAAATCTCCGTTTGTTTTCTTTGATCAGTGGAGTCACTATTTTTCTGCCTTTGTGATTTAACGAATCAAAAAAAAATTGTAGGATTTTTTTGTATGCTTTTTACAATTGGCATAATAAATAAATTAAATTAATTTTAAATTGTCAGCATATTGTGTGTATCTTAAAAACGTCATTATATTTTAACTATATATTTATATATATCTATATATATATATATATATATACATATATATATATATATATATATATATATATATATATATATATATATATATATATTCAATCAAATGTTATGTCTTTTGTGGACAGTCACCTACTACTAATCAATCATAAGCACGTTGGTGTTAAATGAGATCTAATTAATTTATCGATTTGTTAACAAAGGCTGGAGCTTGCTGTAAACAATCTGCCTGTCGTTCATCATTAAACACATTTATGATTTATCTTTATCATTAAATATCGAATGCGATTTTTAATTATAATTTTTTTTTACGTCATTAAGATGCCAGATCAATTATGAAATTCTAATTTTCAGTTAGTTGCCCATTCTCTTGCGGGCCTACTGTCTTATCTCAAGAATTCGGTTTTAAACAGATGACCAAACGACAACTTCTTGTGTAACTGTTTGCAGAGAGAAGCAGTAAGGTAAGAAATTTGTTTCTATATTGTTTTCCGAAAATAGTATTAGTACTTTGCATCCTAAAAACATATATTTTATGATAAGCATCTAATTTGTTTTCGAATGTATATCTATAAAAGATAGTTTACTTTTATAAAGCTTAAATGCGCAGCATTAAAGTATATAATCTACTGAATTAATTTTGAATAAATCAGCAAAGCGTGTGGCTAAACGAAGTAACAGCGAAAAGAATGTAGACATAAAACTAAAACAAAGAAATATATTTAAAATTCCACAAAAAGCTAATCTTAAGTCTAAAAACACAAAATCCAAAACTGATTACTAGATTTAGACCGGGTCCAACCCTATCGTTTTAACACTTTTTGGTAAGTTTCACCATTGACTAATATTCACATGAGTATAGCTTGATCTAGTGGTAAAGCAAATGACTGACAAAACTTACAATAATTGTGTTCGATCATCCGACCTTATCACAGCCATTGTGCAAGGGACTCTCTTTTCTTCCTGAAGAAAGGTATGGTCCTAGAAAGTTGACGCTATATATATATATATATATATATATATAAAATGTAATGTATGTTTGTGTGTGTGTGTGTGTGTTTGTCTGTTTGTCTGTTTGTCTATATATATATATATAGCAATGTATGGGTGTGTCTGTGTGTGTGTCTGTCTGTGTGTCTTTTATGCATTACTACACCTCTCATCACATCGCCGTGAAACTTTGGGAAGTTGTTGAGAATATTCCTGAAGAGGTTTCTGCGAAAAAAAATATTTCAAATTCGCAGGGGTGTCGCCCCGGTAGGGCGCGATTTGTTTTTTTTTCTATAAACGGGATATAAAAATAAAGGCGATTTTTGTTTGGCAACGTTCATCTGATAGCCATGAGACTTTGGGGAGTTCATTATACCACTCTTGGGAAGGGTTCTGTAAAAAAAATAATGTTCAATTTCGCTAGGGCGGCGCCACGGGAGGGTTCGATTTTTCTCTATATACGGTATAGAAAAATAAAAGTCGTTTTTTTTATGTGACACCGTTATTCGATAGCCACGAGACTTTGGGGAGTTGATTGGGAAACTCCAGGGAAGGTTTCTGTAAAAAAATCTTTTGTTTTTGTTTTTATTTCGCAAGAGCGGCGCCACGGAATGGTTGGATTTTTCTCAATATATGGTGTATAAAAATAAAAGTCGATTTTGTTTGACACCATTTATCTGATCGCCATCAAACTTTGGTGAGTTGATTAGAACAATTCAGGGAAGGGTTCTGTAAAAAAAAAAATCCTTTTTTAATTTCGCAAGAGCAGCGCAACGGGAGGGTGCGATTTTTCTCTATATAGGGCCTACGTTTTATAAAAATAAAAGTCTATTCCGGTTTCACACCAATCATTCGTGTACCATGAAACTTTGGGGAGATGATTAGATCACTCAATGATAGGGTTCTGCAAAAAAAATATTTTTTAATATTGCAAGGGCGGTGCCCCCTCGGGGGGGGGGGGGGGCGATTTCTTTTCTCTATACACGGTATATAAAAAATAAAACTCGGATGCGGTTCATCCGAGTTCCATGAAACTTTAGGGAGTAGATGAGAATACTCCCGAGAATATTTCTGCGAAAAAGAAAACAATTTTTCTTATGGGCGGCGCCATATAGGGTACAACTTTCGTCAATACACGGTTTGGCGCCCAGAGTTTTAGAGCGACTATGTTGGCACTTGGCATCTGTTAATCGAGCGTCCTGCATAGCGAGTAAGGGGTACTACTATATCCAGCAGTAAAACTACAACAGGCTTCTAAAAATAACTTTGTAAAGAGAGGAAATCCTTCTGTACAGTTTCGTCACCTTGCGAAAGATGAAAAAAAAAAAAACTTTTTGAATATGAGGAGCCTACTGTAGAGTTTCGTCACTTTGCGAACGATGCAATAAGCATCTATTATTAGACAATCCAGTCAGAAATTGAGATCGAGCATCTAATAATAGACCATTAGTAACGCTAGCATATTGCATCAGTTACACTGATGTTTAAAACACGTCAAATAAATTTTTTTCGTGTTAAGAAAAAAATCCTGTTCATTTGTGTCACTTTAGCGAATGACGAAATCTGCATCATTATTAACAGGATGCTATTTGGCACGATGGCGCCTGTTAGTTGTAAGGAGCCAGGGGTCGTACGCGGCGGCTATGCGGTAGTGTAATCGGGGGGTCGGGGCCCTGAGAGTGGCAGGATGTAATAATATGTTAATTCATCATGTATAATTACATACTAGTATTACTTCTTTGACTTTACTGTTGGTGTGTTTTTTTTTATCCTTTGTAATCCTTTATATTTATGTATTTTCAAGTACATCTACATTATTTATTTGTGAAATTTGTTATGTCGCATTATTTTGTTCCATTTATATTTTAAATAAATCTATGAGACCTAGCACCTGCTTTTGTGTGGAGACTAAAATATCGTTCAGGACTTTTTTTAGTACATGTTAATTTCTATTAATGGACTCTCAGGAAACATGTATAAAATCGTATTAATTATATCATAAATTTAAATCAAATAACAATCAATAATTTATATTTTAAAATCTATATGTTATGGTTAAACCCCCTCTGTGGTCAAAGCACCTGTGGTCAAAGCACCTAGGAACATTAATATATATATATATATATATATATATATATATATATATATATATATATATATATATATATATATATATATATATATATATATATATATATATATATATATATATATATATATATATATATATATATATATATATCTTTATTTATTTATTTATTCATTTATTTATTTATTGATATGAGAAAATAAATTATCTTCCTTTTACCAAATTTTAGCTAGCGCCAAGCTAGTATACCAAGCAAGGGGAATGGTGTATCTCTTACTGCATTTGCTGGTCCTCCTACACCTGACTACGGGATCTGGTAAAGTTTTGCTGTATCTTTCCTGGGCACTGATTCGACATGACGCATGAGCACTTTCTAATATTAATGCTTTATATATATATATATATATATATATATATATATATATATATATATATATATATATATATATATATATATATATATATATATATATATATATATATATATATATATGTATGTATTATATATATATATATATATATATATATATATATATATATATATATATATACATATTATATATATATATATATATATATATATATATATATATTATGTATATATATTATGTATATATATATATATATATATATAATGTATATATAGGGCCTATATATACATATTATATATATATATATATATATATATATATATATATATATATATATATATATATATATATATATATATATATATATATAATTTGAGACATTATCATAAAACCTTCTGACTTTAGCGAGAATATTTTACAGTTCAAGCATAAGGAGTCCACCATTATCTGTAAGCAATATCATTTGACGTATGCTTAACACATAGATACTACTTACTTTTATGTTGTTACTTGTATGTATCGGTACACACATATTCATTATTTAAATAAAGCTTATTTTTTATCATGTTTAATGTTTGCTGAAATTAAATCTTTGCAAGTGAATCGTTAGTTTTTATTATATAACAACTGTACACTGATATTTGTATTTAATGGCAAATACATATTTTGTATATATTCTTGTTTTTTTATTGATCAGGTTACAATTATGGTGGTAAGTACTTTAAAATGGTATTATAATTAATGTATTCTCTTAAGCCTTTTTTTTAACATTTACATATAAGAGCACTTAAATAAATTAACTTTCACGAATTTACATCATTAACTTAAATATGGACACGAATGAATTATAATATTTATATATATATATATATATATATATATATATAATATATATATATATATATATATATATATATATATATATATAATATATATATCACAGAAGACTACAACATCACTGAAGCTGACGAAGAATGGACCATCATTCAAGGTTCTACATTTAATATTCCATTTTAGAATTTATTTATTCTGGATTTGCGGGTGAAAGGTTGATTTATCGGTGGGAAGGAATCTTGAAATCAGACTTAGAACTTGTTCTAATAGAACGTTTGTTCCAAGTTATGTTGGAAGATAAGCACATGATTGATGACTATAATTTTAACAAGTAAATAATCATTTTAAAATATTTTCGTTGCAATTATTGATAGGAAATAACTGAGCACATTGTTGAATAAATCTGTCATTCCAGAAAAATTACAATCACTCGATATCTGTATTTCAACCTTTTAATAATCAGAAATCCAATAAATTTTCAGTCAATAGATATGTCGACTTTAACACTAAAATCTAAAATTGTAGAAAAATTTCAGTCAATAGATATATCGCCTATAACATTAAAATCTCAAATTCCTGAAAATTTCCAGTCAATAGTTATCTCGATTTTAACACTAGAATCTAAAATTGCAGAAAATTTCCAGTGAATAGATATCTCGACTTTAACACTAAAATCTAAAATTGCAGTTATTTTCCAGATATCTCAACTTTAACACTAGAATCAAAAATTGCAGAAAATTCCCACGTCAATATATATTATCTCGACTTCAACACTAAAATCTAAAATTGCAGATAATTTCCAGTCAATAGATATCCCGACTTTAACACTAAAATCTCTAATTCCTGAAAATTTCCAGTCAATAGTTATCTCGATTTTAACACTAAAATCTAAAATTGCAGAAAAGTTCCAGTCAATAGATATCCCGACTTTAACACTAGAATCTATAATTGCAGAAAATTTCCAGTGAATAGATATCTCGACTTTAACACTAAAATCTAAAATTGCAGAAAAGTTCCAGTGAATAGATATCTCGACTTTAACACTAAAATCTAAAATTGCAGAAAAGTTCCAGTGAATAGATATCTCGACTTTAACACTAAAATCTAAAATTGCAGAAAAGTTCCAGTGAATAGATATCTCGACTTTAACACTAAAATCTAAAATTGCAGTTATTTTCCAGATATCTCAACTTTAACACTAGAATAAAAAATTGCAGAAAATTCCCTCTCAATATATATTATCTCGACTTTAACACTAAAATCTAAAATTGCAAAATGTTTCCAGTCTATAGATAACTGGATTATATTCTTGGTCTCTCCCCAGAACCAACCGGCCCACCGCCACCCGTTCAAGTAATTACCGAAAATTTCGAAGCGGATGTTATTGTTGTCTTAGACGCCTCAGGCAGTGTCGGGCGCCAAGGGTTCTCGAAGGAGATCGATTTTTTGGTGCAAGTGATCAAGGCACTACCATTCGGCCCCAAAGGGGTGCGGATCGGTGTAGTCATCTTCAACCACAAAGGACGTTTTGTTTTCGGCGTTACAGAATATTTCAATGTAGACGAGATCAAGAAGGTAATAGTTTATACAGCAGTTTCGGAGAGTTCTATTCCGTCTCAGAGGCGTAGCGAGGGGGGGGGGGGGGGCAGGGGGGACATATGTCCCCGGACGCCAAAATGGGTTGGAAAAATTAATCGAAAGTTTGAACGGGGGTGCAAATCGAATATATATATATATATATATATATATATATATATATATATATATATATATATATATATATATATATATATATATATATATATAATTCTTTACAATCTTTTTAGCCGTGTAGAATTATCTACAGACTGTTTAACGAAAGGCATGGTTTAAATAATGAAAAGCATTTGAATATTTGATTCTTTTTACGTTGTCATTCAGTGGTGTTTCCTAAAATGCCATCCATGTAGTACTCGTTTAAAAAAAAACTTAATAATTTTATAATCGTTTGCTACTAAAACTCTATTGATTAGGGTAAAAAAAGCGAAACAAAAAAAAATCCCTTGTTGATTTGTTGCTTTATTTTTTTTATATATTATGTATCAGCATATTTACAATACATGTAGCATTTCGAAATTTGTTAATAGTAAAGACAAAATCTAAGTATTACAAGAAACTAGCGTGCCCGTCCCGAGCGCGGTGCCGAGGTCCTAGAAGAAAGTCTGACGGCTAGTCACAAGATAACCTCAGGCAAATCGCAACCTACCGATGCGCAGGTACAGTAGCGTAGCCAGGATCGTCTGATTGGGGGGGGGGGGGGGGTTCAAATTTTTACCCGGGGACAAAATTTCGATTTGCACCCCTCCTCAAACTTTTGATTTACACCCCCCCCCCCCCTCAAACTTTCGATTTACACCCCCCTCAAACTTTCGATTTACACCACCCCCTCATACTTTATATATATACCGAGGGGTCTATCGGGGGTTATGACCCCCCCCCCCCCTAAACCTCCCCCCCTGCCTACGCCACTGCGCAGGTAGACATGCATGATTCATCTTAATGAATGACTATAATGCTACATCTTATCCATATTCTATCTTTAAAACGAACGTATGGGCCATAGCGCTCACGGAAAAGCCCTGGGGGCCGAATAGCTCTCTGCTTTACGACGAAGGACGCACCTGATTCGATTTAGTGAGCAACTATAACAACTCATTGTATCTCTAGACTATCGCACTCTTTAAATGTACGTAAGCGCCATAGTGCTCATAAGAGAGCCCGTGGCGCCTAATCACACCTGTCGGAGCGCCGGAGAAAGTGCCTGATTCAATATAGTCAATGATTATTGTTGTCCATCGTGTCTTTAGTGTATAGCCTTTTTAAAAACGAACGCAGGTGCCATAGTGTTCACATGGGAGCTTGGGGCGCTTCGGGTCACGCAATCGCCGGGGCGCTTAGGCGTATTCTCAACAACTTGCCAAAGTTTCATGGCGATCGGATCAAAGGTGAAGTAATGCATAAAAGACGAACAAACAAACCCACTCACTTTGATTTTAAATATATATTAAGATAAAAATTAAATCCATTAGCTATAAGATAATAAAAATGTAAGAGAGATATGTATCATAGATACTATATTGCTCTTTTGGTCTATTTAAAACGTAAGAAAAACGAAAAAAGGTCCTAGGTGCCTTGACCAAGTTTACAAATAAATAATGTAGATGTACTTAAAATACATAGCATCTATTTAGAATTTTAAAAAAAACAACATGCCAGCAGTTATCAAACGCAAGCATTGGACAAACCATCTGTGATCAAAAACCCTATGTGGACAAACCATCTGTGATCAAAAACCCTATGTGGACAAACCATCTGTGATCAAAGACCCTATGGTCAAAGCCCCGCTGGGATGAAACCCCCTATGGTCAAAGCCCCGCTGTGATCAAACCCCCTATGGTCAAAGCCCCGCTGTAATCAAAGCCCTGCTGTGATCAAACCGCTTATGGTCAAAGCCCCGCTTTGATCAAACCCCCTATGGTCAAAGCCCCTATGGTCAAAGCCCCTATAGTCAAAGCACCTGTGGTCAATTGTCCGCGCACCGAAAAAAAGCCAGTTATATATATATACATATATATATATATATATATATATATATATATATATATATATATATATATATGTTACCGAGTGTATCGACAACGCCAAATGTTACCGAGTGTATCGACAACGCCAAATGTTACCGAGTCTATTTACTTGTAGTGCCAAATGTTACCGAATGTATTTACTCGTGCTATCTTTGACCAGCACACAACATCGACCACAATACAGATACTCGGAAGTGCAGGTTTACATTGATCTCTTTATTACATGAATCAATAGAAATGCTCCACATAACAATGCATCAATGTTCCACAAGAATACAATGAACCAACTGACCCCCACTGTCCTCACTAGTCCTCACATATCAGAATGCACGTGTCCATCGTTCCTATCCTCACAAACCACAACACGTCCTCACATATCAATCTTCAACTGGGTTCTGCGCCTTATCGTCGTGCCGTCCTATTATATCCCACGTATACGTAATACTTCCCATTCGTTGCATCAGACTATGAACAACGCAGTTCTGTCGTATCGCTTCTCAAAGCTACGCAATGGCTTTGTGTTCGTTATCAGTCCACACCCCCTGTATCAGTTGCATCAGCCCAGTTTGGCCTTGATCGTGTCTTTAGTTGACAGACTGTATTGCGTTCTTATCGTCTCTAGTAACTACACTAGTTACATCCACCCCCGCCTTTTTGTGTGTGTTTTCAACCACAAACAACGCTTGGCAGGTGCACTCCTTCAATGTCAAACGCAACACCGTAAAAAAAATTTACTGTTCCACTCACTGTCAATGTTGTCACATTCGTATAAAATAGACAGTTATCCCTATTTCAACATATCAAATGTGTCTACATCATATTCCTCAGACACAAAGCAGTTCTAGAATTCACATCCACCCCGCCTTTTTTCGTTTGGTGTCTTCACCAGTTCAGTTTTCTAGCTTTTGAACAGTCTGTTCTCATCCCAGCGCGACCATGAAAGAATTGATGGTTGCTGACGAAAAATTTCGTATTCTTTTTGTTCCTCAAACTTCTCCGCGGACCACTTATCTGATGTTCTACTGTCTCTCTGCTTCTGGGAGGACCGGGATCCTCATTGTTGCAGTTATTCTCCACTTGTGTATCGCTGTTGTGCTGTTGATGGTGACATGGTTCCGGGATGGGTATGTGAATTTCCGTTGTAGTTTCCGGTTCCCTAATTGTCTTAGGTTTCTTTGTGTGTAAATGCTCTTCTTGACTATGCCAATATTTCTTTAATTGAGTAATATTCGCCCACCGATCCGGTTTGGTGTGATTGGTGGGTCTTATTTTAATGGGGCCACCGGCTACTTTAGGCATCTCCACGACTTGCCATATCTCCTGTCCCCAGAGGTCGTGGATTTTGTTTCTGCCTAATGGGTGGCTACGCAGTAATACTTTGTCGTTTAGTTGGAGTGGCGGGTCTTTTGTCTGTACCGGCGGTTCTCTTCGCCGTGCTTCATGTTCTAGTCTTCCTTGTACCACCCTGTACATTTCTCTTATTCGTCTCATATGTTCATTCACATATTCCAGTGCGGTGTATGAGCCAGTCATGCTTTCCTTTTTTCCTAGGAACAAGTCAAGAGGGAGTCGAGCCTCCCGTCCGAACAGTAACATGTGTGGCGAAAAGCCGGTTGTGGCATGGGGGGTGCAGTTGTATAGGTATACCAACTCTGGGAGAAAATCAGGCCAACGTTTTTTCTGTTCCGGTTCTAGAGTACGCAGCAAATCATGCATGCTGCGGTTGAACCGCTCGCACTGTCCGTTTCCTTTAGGATTATATGTGGTTGTTCTAGATTTGTTGATCCCGTAGTGGCTGCACAGTTGGTTAATTACTTCTGACTCAAAGGCCCTTCCTTGGTCAGAGTGTAATTGTATTGGTATTCCATATTTGGTGAACCAGTGTTCTATTAAGACCTTTGCCACTGTTTTTGGCCGTCTGGTCTCGTGTGGGCACCGCGACAGTCCATTTGAAGAATACGTCAGTCATCACCAACACATGTTCCGTCCCATCCGATGATTGCTCCAACGACGTAAAGTCCATAGCCACAATCTCTAGGGGTTTTGTCGCCAATAAGTGTCCTGATGGCTGTCTCATTTTGACAACTGGCCTTTTCGCATGCTGACACCTCACACAAGCCTCACAATGGCGTTTGACCTCCATCTCCATATTGGGCCAGTAGCACGGCCGTCGTAATATTTTGTGCGTCCTGTCCTGACCCTGGTGTCCCGCCCTGTCATGTGCCAACTTTAGCACTTCTTCTCGTAACTGTCCAGGCACCACCACCTGGTGTATTGTCCCGTCTATTTGGTCATGAATTCTCCGCATGAGAACACCATCCTTTATACTGAGACGGTCCCACTGACTCAGTAGTTTCTTTGTTTCCCGACCAAACTGTTCTCTTTCCCTTCTTCTTGGGAATTTTTGTTCCTGGACGTATTTAAACAGCGGCTGTAACCCACTATCCGTTCTCTGGGCATCTCTTATCTCTTTATGATTAAGGCAGTTAAAATCACTGATGTCCATATGTCGGGGCTCTGTGGATATGTGCTCCACCCCGGTCTGCCCGTTTTGCATCACTTGCACCCCGTGAGGGATATCTGTTGACGCTCTGACCTCACATATTCCTGTCAGCGTTTCTTCCTCATCCCCCGGTCTCTCGTAAGGATTCCTTGATAAAGCGTCAGCATTGCCATTGGACCGCCCCGGGCGAAATTTTATCTCCAGGTCAAAGAGTGCCAATTCTGTTGCCCATCGCTTTTCGATGGATCCCAACTTTGCTGTCTGTAGGTGACTCAGGGGGTTATTGTCAGTGTATACCTCACATTTAGCACCTAATAGATAGTCCCTGAATTTTTCAGTCACAGCCCATTTCAATGTCAAAAGTTCTAGTTTCATGGCGCTGTAATTTGTCATGTTCTTCTCTGATTCTTTCAGAGCCCGACTGGCATACGCAATAACCCTGAAACCTTGCTCCTGTTGTTGTGATAGTACAGCTCCCAGACCTTTAGAGCTGGCGTCAATTTCTAGCCGAAATGGTTTGTCAAAGTCTGCGTATCCTAATATCGGCGCCTCGGTCAAAGCATTTTTCAGTAGCTTAAACGAGTTCAGGCATTTCTCAGTCCATAATTCCCCTATCAGTTGTGGTTTACCTTTCGTTTTCTCCTTACTGTGTTTCTGTGTCATTTTGTTTACCAAGTCATGCAACGGTGCGGCAATTTTTGCAAAACCAGGTACACATTTTCTATAATAGGAAGCAAAGCCCAAGAATGATCTGACCTCTACTGTGGTTGTTGGCTGTTTCCATTCTTTAACAGCTGCAATTTTATCTGGGTCAGTGGCGATGCCATCAGGCGAAATCACATAGCTCAAAAAACGTACCGATTTCAGACCGAAGCCGCATTTGTCTGGGTTCAGCTTTACTCCTATCTCTCTAAGACGGAGAAAAACGTGTTCTAATCTTTCTAGATGGTCCTCCCAAGTTTTTGAGTAAACTAGTATATCATCCAAGTACACCAACATTATTTGAAATAGGAAGTCACTCATAGCACTTTGTATTACTCGCTGGAATGTAGCAGGCGCATTAGTTAGACCAAACGGCATACGGGTCCACTCGTACAGTCCTAGTGGAGAAATAAATGCAGTCTTATGTTGATCGTTGGGGTGCATGGCCACTTGGTGGTAGCCACTAGCCAAATCTAAGGTAGAAAAAAATCTTGCTCCCCCCAACGCATCAAGACATTCATCAATACGAGGCAAGGGGAATGCATCCCTTCTTGTGATGCTGTTCAATTTACGGTAATCACAACACAGTCTTATCACCCCTGACTTCTTTTTTACAACTACTATCGGTGCTGCATACGGGCTTGTGCTGGTTGTAATAATTCCCTTTTTAGTAGATCGTTCAGGTGTGCTTTCACCGCAGAGTAGTGACTTGGTGGTAATCTTCGATAAGGTTGCGCCACAGGCTTGTCTTGCAGTAAGGGTATCTGGTGTTTTATTACTTCCGTGTAACCAAAATCACCCTCGTACGAGGCAAATATATCCCTGTACTTATTCAGCAATTCATTTAATTTTGGGTCCTCAGTTTCCGGGAATGTATATGTTCGGCCATCCTCTTTCTTCACCTCGGCCGTCACATTGACCGACCTAATTGTTACTTCATTACTGCTGGTATTGATCAGTTCGATGCACTGTGCCGACTTTTTTACCTCGACGTTCTGTGGTACTCCTACCAGAGTGTTAGGCGGTACAAAAATTTCCTCATCCAATACATTTGCCACCAACCCTAGGACCAGTCCATTTTCCGCTGATGTGTATGTCCGCAGTAACATGACGCCTGCCCTCAGTGCGGCGCCACATGGTTCTATCATCACATCACCATTCACGCTTCTATCACCAATTTGTAGTGTGATTGCCTTGACCGTGTTTGCCGGGATTGATGTCCTTCCTCTGGTCTTAGCAAACCTGGCCAACTTGGATCCCCGACCTGGTGTGGGCGATCCGACAACATTTGTAAGAAATTCTGGCAACTGGCCAAGGATGTTCATGCCCAACAGGCAAGGTATATTTGACACATTTGTCTCTAGGTTGTGTTTCGTAACGAACACCCCAACCTGCTTCAACCTGTATCCCGCCACCACCACATCTGCCAGAAAATAGCCACAGTATGGAATGGTTAATCCATTAGCTGCCGTTAGGCGCATGCATGTGTCAGACCTTAAACTATGGTCTTTTCCTTTTATCCATTTGGTGTAAAATTGTTCCGTAATTGTCGTCACCTGGGAGCCTGTATCAACAATTGCCTTGACCGCGATGTCCCCGATCGTGATCATCATCTCGGGACAGACTCCAATCATTTTGTTTCTTGGGCCATAACCTCGCCCCTCTGTAGCCTGACCCTGCCTTACAGAGGACGACCGTTTCCCTGACAGTACCTTGCCATATGTCCGGGTTGTGAGTAGGACAGGCAGATTGGTCTACCGTCAGCTGTCCACTGGAGTGATGGCTTGGCAGGTCGCGGCTGTCTAACTTGTCTATGTTTTGTCCAGTTTTTGCCCTGATTCTCTGCTGTTGACCTGCTTTCTAACCTCTCCAATCGTTGGCCAACCTTATCCAGGTGAGCCAACAGTTGAGCCATCATGGTTTCCATCGTGCCGGTCTCTGTGGGTGGTGATTGTTTCTATTCCGGCACAGAGACTTTGTCTACCGAGCAGTTCGATTCGTCATCATACTCGGACCTGCGGATCGCTCAGTTCCTGACCTGAAGGAAGGTCAACTGTTACCGAGTGTATCGACAACGCCAAATGTTACCGAGTCTATTTACTTGTAGTGCCAAATGTTACCGAATGTATTTACTCGTGCTATCTTTGACCAGCACACAACATCGACCACAATACAGATACTCGGAAGTGCAGGTTTACATTGATCTCTTTATTACATGAATCAATAGAAATGCTCCACATAACAATGCATCAATGTTCCACAAGAATACAATGAACCAACTGACCCCCACTGTCCTCACTAGTCCTCACATATCAGAATGCACGTGTCCATCGTTCCTATCCTCACAAACCACAACACGTCCTCACATATCAATCTTCAACTGGGTTCTGCGCCTTATCGTCGTGCCGTCCTATTATATCCCACGTATACGTAATACTTCCCATTCGTTGCATCAGACTATGAACAACGCAGTTCTGTCGTATCGCTTCTCAAAGCTACGCAATGGCTTTGTGTTCGTTATCAGTCCACACCCCCTGTATCAGTTGCATCAGCCCAGTTTGGCCTTGATCGTGTCTTTAGTTGACAGACTGTATTGCGTTCTTATCGTCTCTAGTAACTACACTAGTTACATATATAATTACACTGCCTATGATATTTGTATTTGTTTAAATAATATTTAAAATGCTTTAAGTTTCCAAACCTCAGTCGTTGATTCTTGTATCTGTTTAAAGGCTCTAGAAAGCAAAACTGTCAGCTTCACACAGTCATATATCGATCGAGCCTTGGACGTGATCGTTACTAAGGACATGTTCGGAAAGTCTGGCGAAGACAGGGACAAAGTTGTCCTCATTGTGACGGATGGGGTCTCAACAGATAAGTTTAAAAGTAAGTTTCTCAATAGGGCTAGTAAGTAGGTCACCACCGTCTCGTTTTCAAATTGGCCGGATGTTGTTTTTTTTTTTCAAACCAAATGTAAATATATTTATAAAATAGGTAAAATAAAAATAAGTTAATTTGCTTTGAAATCGTTAACAACGATAATGATTGACTGCGATGATAGCTTAAAAAAAATATAGTCTACGTAAAATTGTGATTTGTCTTTTTTTGAAGGAGCGTACAGTTTATAATTGATTAAAAAAGTTAGTCCTAAACGTAGTAACAATATAAATACTTTTACTTGATTCTATTATTATTCAATTGCTTATAATTGTTGCATTTTTAGTAATCTTGGTATTTTTAAATCTTGAAGCAAGACTTAAAAACAAATAGCTGGAAAATGATTTTTTTTAAATCACCAATCATACTCACAACAAATAATTTAGTTTGAAAATGAATATCACCCTCTGGCTATCGAGATTTCGAATATTCAGTGAGAGAGACCGAGACTTACAAGCCCTAATGATTTTAATTTGAAGCTAACAGTCTTTTACGCTATACAGGACAGCGGAAAGTAGTTTAATGTGCGTAATGTCGATATCGTCGACAAAGTTCAACGTTTAATATCCTCCTAAGCCGCAAAAACGAAGCCTCTCTTGTTGTCTGTCAGTGTACATGTGTGTGTGTGTGTGTATGTGAAAATGATAACTTGTATGATGTCTCAGTTAGGTGAAAACAATTTCTAGTATAAGCAATAGATCTTATTCGTAGCGATTTCCGTAAACGAGATACGGTAATGTATTCCTACCTTCTCAAAACAAACAGAATTTAAGATGTTTAAATCATACTCTCATTGGGCAGTTAAATCTAAGAACTTTTCGACTCAATATTTTCATCGAAAAAATAATAAACCGGGAGTGATCTCCCCTAAATGTTCTCGAATATTTTTATATAACACTATGGGGGATGGAAACTCGGGGTATAGATATGATTTTTGAATCCAGTTTTAATTACTTAAACTTTTTAAAATAGAATAGAATCTCCTAGAAAAAAGAATTGCGCACCAAGTGAAAGTCAAATGATATGTATATAATAGTGCGGAATACTAGTACTTTATAAATTTATATGCATTGTTTTTTTTTTTTTGTTTTTTTTTTAAGCAATCGGAAATAGCGTAAAGTACAACTTCAGGTCAATGGAAATTACTCAAAATTTGAAAGAAGGCAGAGAATTAGATCTGTTACCTATGTGTAAAATTTCGTTTATCTATCTGAAATAGTACTCAAGTGATGGGCTTTTAAAAACCAAAGTAGAACAAGTTACACTTCCGGTTACGGGAAATCGCTGAAGTTGATAAAGAACTACAAATTCGATATAACCTAGCTGTAACGGTACTCAAGTTATCATGTTCACAGATATACACACACACACACACACACACACACACGGACAGAGTTGCAAATCCCAGTTTTTCAGACTAGATTACGCATAGAACCCCGAAATTTCGATAAATCTGCATTTATTATTTTTGCACGATTAAAATAATAATCCATATACTCCGTATATGATTAAGTACCTAGGTGTAAAACGATAAAAACTGTATACGAGAAAACAACTAAACGAGCGGTTTTGTCACGGGAACAGGGCATTACCCGCCCCCCCCCCCCCCCGTCAATTATCCCCCGGACATCCCCCCCCCCCCGACATTACCCCCGAAGTATTCCCCCCCCTGTCAATTCCCCCCTCCCCGCCCAGTAGGATATTACCCCCCCCCCCCTCGACAGGGTGAGGTTAAGGTTAGGGTTAGGGTTAGAGTTAGGGTTAGGGCTAGATTTAGGGCAAGGGTTAGATTTAGGGCTAGGGTTAGGGTTAGGATTATGGCTATGGCTATGGCTAGATTAAGGGATAGAGTTAGGGTTAGGGTTAGGGTTAGGGCTAGGGTTATGATTAGGGTTAGGGTTAGGGTTAGGGTTAGGGTTAGGGTTAAGGTTAGGGTTAGGGTTAGGGTTAGGGTTAGGGTTAGGGTTAGGGATAGGGTTAGGGTTAGGGTTAGGGTTAGGGTTAGGATTAGGGTTAGGGTTAGGGTTAGGGTTAGGGTTATGGTTAGGGTTAGGGTTAGGGTTAGGGTTAGGGTTAGGGTTAGGGTTAGGGTTAAGTTTAAGATTAGGGTTAGGGGTATGGCTATGGTTAGGGTTAGTGTTAAGGTTAAGTATAGGGTTAGGTTTAGGCTTAAAGTAGTGTCTAGCGTTGGTTTTGGTTTAGTTCTAAGTTTTAGGCTGATGTTGATGCTAAGGTTTTGGTATGTTTCTTAAGATTAGGAATGAGGTTATATTAAAGTATAGAATTCTAGTTAGAGTTAGGATTCTAACTTAAGGGGGGTGGGGGGATATATCCCCGGGGTGGAGGGATAAATGACAGGGGGATAATTGACAGGGGGTTATTGCTTCGGGGGGGGGGGGTAAATACGGGGGGGGGGGAATGTCCGGGGGGGGGGGTAAATTCGGGGGAGAGGGGTAGGTTCTTTAGCCTTTGTCTCACATACCTACCGTTTCTAATGCTGGATTCAAATGTACGATTGTACACGAATATTATGGTACACTCATTCCTAATATATTATCATTCTACCTTCAAAGCCTTGCAGATGGTTAAGCAATTGAAAGAAAAGAAGGTAAAGGTCTTGACACTGGCTGTTGGCAACGAAGTATCGGAGGAAGAAATTATACACATCTCTGAACCTCACCAGGTTATAAGAACATTCAGCTTTAATACTTTAGATCACACCATCAATATAGTGATCGATGTCTTAAGGGGTAAGTAACGTCTTTTGCTGAATTGTTTGCATCCAAAAAGAACTATAAACCTAGAAAGTATATATATATATATATATATATATATATATATATATATATATATATATATATATATATATATATATATATATATATATATATATATATATATATATATACTAGCGTACCCGTCCCCGCGCGTTGCCGCGGGAATAGAAGAAAGTCCGACGAAATATATAAGAAGGGTTTCATCCATGCGTTAACCAATCCTATATTCTTAGACTCATGACCTTGATTTCTAAAAATGAGTTATTTAAATGTAAACAATGCCTGCGCTTGGATCATAAATATCGGGACACGGGCTTACCTACACTACCGCATGAAAAGCTTGAGTGTACATTAATCACTCACTGAAATGATATGGTAGAGCACACTTCGGTGACCGCCCATGTGTCACAGACGTAGAAGAGCGCTCTCAGAAGCCTCCCCCCCCCCCCCCGATTACACTACCGCATAGGCGCGGCGTACCACCCCTGGCTCCTTAAAACTAACAGGCGCCATCGTGCCAAATAGCATCCTGACAATAATGATGCACATTTCATCATTCGCTAAAGTGCCACAAATGAACAGGCTTTTTTTCTTTAACACGTAAAAAAGTATTTGACATGTTTTAAACATCATTGTGACTGATTCAATATGCTAGCGTTACTAATGGTCTATTATTAGATACTCGATCTCAATTTCCGACTGGATTGTCTAATAGTAGATGCTTATTGCATCATTCGCAAAGTGACGAAACTCTACAGTAGGCTCCTCATTTTCAAAAAGCTATTTTTTCATCTTTGGCAAGGTGACGAAACTGTACAGGATTTCCTCGCGTTACAAAGTTATTTTTAAAAGACTGTTGTAGTTTTACCGCTGAATATAGTAGTACCCCTTACTCGCTATGCAGGACGCTCGATTAACGGATGCCAAGTGCCAACATAGTCGCTTTAAAACACTGGGCGCCAAATCGTGTATTGACGAAAGTTGTACCCTATATGGCACCGCCCATAAAAACTTTCTTTTTCGCAGAAATATTCTCGGGAGTATTCTCATCTACTTCCTAAAGTTTCATGGCACTTGGATGAACCGCATCCGAGTTTTATTTTTTTAAATACAGTGTATAGAGAAAAAAAATCGCCCCCCCCCCTTGGGGGCGCCGCCCTTGCAATATTAAAAGATATTTTTTTTGCAGAACCCTACCATTGAGTGATCTCATCATCTCCGTAAAGTTTCATGATACACGGATGAACGATGTGAAACCGAAATAGATTTTTATTTTTATAAACCGTATATAGAGAAAATTTGCAGCCTCCAGTGGCGCCGCCCTTGCGAAATTAAAAAAGGATTTTTTTTTTTACAGAACCCTTCCCTGAATAGTTCTAATCAACTCCCTCAAAGTCTCATGGCTGTCGGATAACGGTGTCACACCAAAATCGACTTTAAAAAAAAAAATATACCGTATATAGAGAAAAATCGCACCCTCCCGTGGCGCCGCCCTTGCGAAATTAAAAATGATTTTTTTTACAGAACCCTTCCCAAGAGTGGTATAATGAACTCCCAAAAGTCTCATGGCTATCGGATGAACAGTGTGAAATCAAAATAGACTTTTATTTTTATATACCGTATATAAAGAAAAACAAATCGCGCCCTACCGGGGCGCCACCCCTGCGGCGAATTTGAAATTTTTTTTTCGCAGAAACCTCCCCAGGAATATTCTCAACAACTTACCAAAGTTTCACGGCGATGTGATAAGAGGTGTGGTAATGCATTAAAGACACACAGACAGACACACAGACAGACACACACACATACATTGATATATATATATATATATATATATATATATATATATATATATATATATATATATATATATATATATATATATATATATATATATATATCAACAGGTTTAACAACTGCGGTCGAAATCAACACAATTGTAATTATCTTTAACTACGCGGAAGAAGAGCATCTAACAGATTTTAAATGGAAAGTCTCTGTGATTGGTAGCTTGATCCAGCAATACTGGGAAGAAGAGGAATCTAATAAGTTCATTATAATAGGTTACACAAAGAAAATTGCCAAACTCTTCGACGTCAGGAAACTTACAAGCGTGGTTTCTATCACAAATGTAAGGGTTAAAAATTATATGTTTCATGGTACATTCTTAGTGTACTTTTTTTACTGAATACTTAGATATACACACCTTTACATAAATATACACATATATCTATATCTATATATATATATATAAATATATATATATATATAAATATATATATATATATATATATATATATATATATATATATATATATATATATATATATATATATATATATATATATATATATATATATATATATATATATTTATATATATATATATATATTAATATATATATATATATATATATATATATATATATATATATATATATATATATATATATATATATATATATATATATATAATTTACTAATTTTTTAAGTCTATTAATTAATTCTTTTTTCAAATTAATCATATTTTATTTATGCATGTATTTAAGGACCCGATTTTCGGTTCGTTTTTTGTTTACTTGCTCGCTTGCTTGTTTGTTTGCTAGTTTGTTTGTTTGATTTGATTTTTTTAAAATCTATTTCTTAATTGTTTTAAATGAACCATTTTTTAATCTTGTATTTAATGACTCATTTTTGTTCGTTTTTTGTTTTGCTTGTTCGCTTGCTTGTTTGTTTGCTTATTTGTTTGTTTGATTATTAATTCATTTCTGTATCCATAAAGATTGTATTTATTTATTCTGTAGGCGCTAAATTCCAAACATACAAGCCACACGAATAACTTATCTCAAATGTTCGAGGAACTAAAGAAATTGGGATGCGTTAAGAAAAGGCCATGCATTGTGCAATTTATTATAGATAATACACCTGATTTCGATGGTAAATGTACTTTATGTTGCCATGTTTAACTATTTCTGCCTCATATAACAACTTTTGAACGTGAGACAGCTACTCGAGCCGTTGGATCCGTACTCGAGACTTTCAGGTTAGCAGTTGAAGGCTCTACTGTTTGACCGCACCGCCCCTAAGGCATCGTTTTAACAAATAAACAAAAATGCCTACGTAACATTTACTACACATGCCGTTGTCAAATAACAGGTGAACTACGGCACCTGCTCCATGGTTTATCAGGTTCAATATTTTTTTTTATTTAGTACATAATCTAGTAGAGCTCAAAATGAATTTGAAACATTAAATTAGCTTTCATTTGAAACCATTTTTAGCAACTAAAAGCAGTTTTACCTTCTTCTCCGTTGTTTGCCACGATTTTGGGTTAAATTTTAGAAATCGTCATTCTTCTTCTTCGTTCTTAATTTTTAGTGTTGGGAGGAATCGAGCCTTATCTGCCAGAGGGTTTGAACTCGAGACTTTTTTTTTTTTCGAATTTATCAACCATGAGCTTAGCCGACTCGACCATGCTTCCATCACAATTAAGGATAACGTGTCAACTGGTTAAGCGCCAATTAGGCCATTGACTCCGATTTCAGCCTGCTTTTCTTTTTGGATTTGCTTCCATAGCCTTTGTCCAACCAAGAACAAACTACAAGGCAGCAGTTGTTTGATTTTGGAGTTGTCTCTCCTAGAAGAGTGGCTGTCCCCAGATAACGAGCCTCATCTGCCCGAGGGTTCGAACTCGAGAGTTTTCGGTTTAGCAACCATGAGCTTTACCGACTCGACCACGCCGACCCCTGAAATGGTCATTAAATTTTACAAAGAAGTGTTACCTTTATCAACAGATACTGCGATCAAAGAATTTATCAAAAACGGCAACATAATCACAGCAATCGTTGTGGGGCAGCTAGTTGATTCTACTGAAATCTACCAATGGGTCGAAACTCCAAATGACGTCTTAGAGATAAAGTCCTTTAACTCGACCGTCACTCATGGAACCGAAATAAAACGAGTGGAGGGTAAAATATTTGTTACAGTTTGTTTTATATTTGTTTTTTTTTTTGTTTTTTTTTTTACTTTCTCGTATACGGAGTATAGAGGAAGTATTACATTCGTGAATAACTTCGAAATCGAGATTTTTTTTTCCAAATCTCGAAGTTTTAGACCTGCCTGAGTAGGAAAAAACTTAAAATTTACCGTCTTGTCTGTATGCTTGTGTTTGTGTGTCTCTCCGCGTGTGTGTGTATGTATGAGTGTGTGTGTGTGTGTGAGTGCGTCTGTGAACACGATTACCTGAGAACCGTTACAGCATCGTTGACGAAATCTCAGTTAGATGGAAGAAATTCTACATACACGTAGAAGATCTAATTTTCTGTTCACTGGCACATTTTTAGCAATTTTCCGGTGACCGGAAATACTAGTTATGTTATCGGAATATATTTTACAAAATTTAGGGGAGATCACTCCCGCTTTATTTTAATAGCAAGTACATTGGGCTTAATAACCTGGCACGGTGATAGATACTTTGCTGCTATCGCTGACAAAGATCAAATCCTAAAATCTAAAAAGACCAGAGCTTCATCTACAAAACCGATCCTTGTTAGTAACCCGATACGTATCATACAGAGTTTCTTCCAGGCGGAGCACCCCCCCCCCCCTACCCCCCACCCCCCACCCCGAACGAAATGGAATTTATATATAAAACATTATACTTTTACCAGTGTCCGCCCCACCGGAAAATGTTGTCCCCCCCCTCCCCCGAAAAGTGCCCCCCCCCCCCCCCACCTGGAGAAAAAAAAAGTCTGGAAGAAACACTGGTCACAAGTACAATAGAATGGAACATGGGAGCGAATGTTGATTGGTCAAAAAGTCCACGAAGAGGAGGGGGGGGGGGCGGGGTCAAAACTGACTTCGACTGACCAGCGTCTTATATGACCTATGCATCGAATTAACTTTCCCACGTACAAACCTTATTATAACTCGCGGTGGACACACAAAAATAGGCGTTATCTTCGGGAAAACGTCGGAAGGGCTTAAGAAGAGACCAGTCTGAATTCCTTATATTAAACATCGTTAATTTGGTGAAAAACGGTGACTATTTGCAAAACACTTTTTAGGCTACTTTGGCTCTTTACATATGATTAATTTTTTCATATACCCGGGTAAATAAAATTGGCCAATTAGGAATACTATGATTTAACTCAGTTTTAGAAAACAAGGTCACGCGTCTAAAATACAGTATTAGTAACGCATTGATGAAGTTCTCTTAAATTACTGCGTCATCCCAGGTATATATATATATATATATATATATATATATATATATATATATATATATATATATATATATATATATATATACATATATATATATATATATATATATATATATATATATATATATATATATATATATATAAATGTGTGTGTGTGTGTGTGCGTGCGTGTATATGTGTAAACAACAAAAGTCACTGGACACTCAAACTATCGTTTCGCCTCTTTACAACTCTTGCAGAGCCACCACCAATCTACACCAACAGCACGATTCCCCCTATTGTGATTTTCATCGTCGACTTCGTCGGTAAGGAGAGGGACGACGAGTACACGATGATCATCAAGTTCATCATCGACGCCATGAAGAAGCACAAACTGGGCTACGCCGGCGTCAGGTTTGCCGTGGTACTCATCGTCAACGGTCAGGTGCGGCTCTTCGACACCAGGCACTTGGCGGACATAGTGGCTTTACAAACGGTATGAGTGTGCGTCATGGGGGGGGGGTATGTGTGAGTAAAGCGCAGATGTAGTGTGGTGGCAGAGGCGTAGAGAGGGGGGGGCGGGATATATGTTCCCGGGCGCCGACCTTAGGGGGGGGGGGCGCCAAAATGGGTTTACAAACGGTATGAGTGTGCGTCATGGGGGGGTGGGGTATGTGTGAGTAAAGTTCAGATGTGGTGTGGTGGCCGAGGCGTAGAGAGGGGTGGCGGGATATATGTCCCCGGGCGCCGACCTTAGGGGGGGGGGGCGCCAAAATGGGTTTGAAAAACAAATTGAAAGTTTGAGGGGGGTGTGCAATCAAAAGTTGAGCGGGGGGGGGGGGTGCAAATTGAAAGTTTGTCCCCGGGCACCGGAAAGGTCGCTACGCCTGTGTGTGGTGGCGCTCGGCGCTAGCTCTGACGAAGCCGTACTTACCCCCCCCCCCCCCCACCCACAAGACCGTAGCTAAGCCTAAGGGACTGGAAGTGGTCGATAGGGCTGGTAAGTAGGTCACCGACCAGTTCTACGGCTCAATAAAACCTGCATGAGCCATAGAACTGGTTGGTGACCTATTTACCAGCCCTATTACACTCGTTCACTCGTAACTACCTTAAACGATCAATAACACTTTTGTTAAACACATCGGTAGTGATTCCGCACTAACTTCTTAAGATTACAAATACTAACTTCACTATTATCACTAACATTCACAAATATAAATAACATCTCTACCATCACTAACATCACTAACGTCACTTACATCACTACCATGGCTATCATCACTAACATCACTAACATCTCTACCATCACTAACATCACTAACATCACTAACGTCACTATCATCACTTATATCACTACCATCACTACCATCACTATCATCACTTACATCACTACCATCAATATTATCACTAGCATCAATTGCATAACTATCATCACTACCATCACTATTATCACTAACATCACTACCATCAGTATTATCACTTGAATCAATTGCATAACTATCATAACTATCATAACTATCATCACTATCATCACTACCATTACTAACATCACAAACATCTCTACCATCACTAACATCACTAACGTCACTTACATCACTACCATCACTAACATCACTACCATCACTAACATCACTAGCATCACTATCATCACTCACATCATTACCATCACTATCATCACTTACACCACTACCATCACGAGCATCATTTGCATAACTATCATCACTATCAGGTAAGGGTAAGGGTAGGGCTGGTGTCAGAGTTAAAGTTAGATAAAGGTTTAGAATTTGTGTTAGGATTGATGTTAGGTTAGAGTTATCTATAGGTTTATGAGTTTGGGGTCAGGGTTAGGGTTAGGGTCAGGGCTCGTTAGAATCGAGGAGGAGGAGGGTAATGACAAGGGTTAATGAAAACAATGAATTTCTAATTATTTATTTTTAAATTCCAAAACATATTCAGACATTGTCCGAAGGAACTAAGTACGTCGTGCTGAAGACTTTAAAAGAGTTTTTCCAGAACCTGAAAGGGTGGAAATGCGACACCAAAAAATCCTGCGTCATAGTGTACATCTCAAACGGGAAAAAGACAAACCCGGGAGAAGGTGGTGTATTTAAAAAAAAAATTTTTATTGTGTTCAATTTGTGGGTGGGGGGGGAGGGGAGGGGGTTCCCTTTTCGTGTCCAAGACATAAGTAAAGTTTTCTTTCAAACCTGACGGTCTGTAGGGCAAGTGAAGTAGAGTTCACTTGTTTCTGTGACCTCGGATTATGAAGAGATAGTGTGGTCAGCACTATGCCCAGCCGTATTTACTTTCCCTAACGTGAGTTAGGTACCCATTAGAGTTGGGTGGACTCAGGGAAGGTCTACTGACTTGAACCCGGATTCGAACTCGAGACTTACGGGTTAGCAATCCAGCTACAGTCCAAGACATACAGTGTAAAAAAAATGTAAGGTTCTTCGGGTTCACTGGCTCTGGCTTAAGGTAGGATAGTGTGGTCAGCACTATATCCTTTTTACCGGGATGACAACATGACAAAAAAATGCAAACTATAGAGAAAGCAAAGCTACACTCTTCTGTGTTAACAACCAACTATAGATAAACATTATTAGTATTAAATGTGAACACTTTAAAGCTTTTAAGGGGGGCGGGGGTGACACCAACGATAACATATACAGAGAAAAATAATAGTGGGGGTGGGGGTGACACCATAAGAAGACGCACCGGGTGACACCCGACAAAGCGACGTCCCTACCTCATCTAAACGCGAAAGTACATAGGCATCATGCTTCTTTATAGAGCTGGTAAGTAGGTCACCAACCAGTTCTATGGCTCGTGCAGGTTTTATTGAGCCGTAGAGCTGGTTGGTGACCTACTTACCAGCCCTATACCTATACAGCTAACAATCCGTGTCACTTTTTGCACCAGTTAAAAACGAAATAAAGATCTGGAAAGAAATATGCAACGCGTTGATTGTGGTGATCATTTTATTTAGCCGTAGAGTTGGTTGGTGACCTACTTACCAGCCCTATACCTATACAGCTAACAATCCGTGTCACTTTTTTGCACCAGTTAAAACCGAAATAAAGACCTGGAAAGAAATCGGCAACGCGTTGATTGTGGTGATCATAGGCGACCAGGGGGACACGTCAATCATCAAGGATTGGGACGTCGATCAAGAGGACGTTGTCGTAGTGGAAAATGTGAACATGTTATGGAGCTCGCAGGTTACTATCATTGAGTTTATAGCTGAAGGTAAGTTCGTTACTAGCGGTGGAATCCT